TGTTTTTAACTAATGCAACATGACGAAGTTAACAGTACATACTGTTCAGCTTCAAGTATGTGATTCTTCAAATGTCAAACACATCAATACCAACTTTATAAATTAAAAAAAAAACAAATTAAGAGCTGTCCAATCACGATGTCTGTTAATATATGATCAGTTATCAATTCATGTATGTATTTTACATTACTATTCCAATTTCGTACCACTAATATCAATTAGCTTGTCTTACTCAATTACATGATAATAAAGGGTGTACTCATCAATCCATAAACATGTCAATACTAGTTTAATAAGATGCTGTCATTGACCCGGAACACTTGTTGTTCCATTATAAATATAAATGATATTTGATATTCATGTGACTTTGTTTATTCATACACTGATCTTAAAATATCACACATTCCTCGATTCTAATTAACTTTATATTAAACTTCACATACCAGTCGACCAACATGATTTCTGTCAGTAGTCGGCTATCATTTCATTTATATATATTTAATCCACTGTAATATCAGTTAATATGATTCGTCACGGTTTACTTCAATTCCAAAATATCAAGGATCCATGACCCACTGGACTGAACTGTAGTTCTTCATATGTATAATAGCCCCCCTCCCCCCCCCCCCCCCCCCCNACTTCCGTTCAGATATAACTGTAGAACAATTGGGCTGTACACTCGGTAGCTCAGTCGGATAGCTTTATGGTATATATAACAGTCAATGGTTCGAAGTGCTGTATCGTTGCTATAGCTGGGCGGGAAACACCCCAGTTTTCAATACTTTATTACAGCTTTTTGCAGAGGAACGAGTATCCTTAAATAAAAGGGGTGCAATTTTTCAATGAATAAACAAGCTAAGCTATATATTGTAACAGCTTCTGTTTTGAACTGTTGCATAGATATATTTTAAATGATATCATATTTTTTATAAAAATTATAAAAACAACTTTTTCCAACTGATATTGATCACTTTTGTTGGCCAGGATGGGGCACCTGTTGTAATATCGTGTTGACACTGGTAACGGTATACTGTAATGACTTACAGATGTATCTATACCTTCCGCACGGAATACTATATTGTGGTGTAAATTAAATGTAAACACATGTATATGTGGTGTTACAACATAATGGTGAGACCTGTAGAAATACTGTGGGTGTTTTATTTTATAGACGAGTGACAAAGCATAGAATACGACAACAAGGTCCTCTCCGACCTTTTATCGACGGGCACAGCTTTCCACCCACCCAGTCTAATTAAATTTTCTTGAAAAGGAAAGTTTAATAATCACGAGGAGTAGGCGTACCTTTAATATGAATTAAAATGAGTGTGGTAGGGTTACGATGTAATTATGTTTTGATACAATTTTGGCCTTCTTTAACATCTCATCCCATAATTATTCCGATTTACATTGATGCCGACGTTAACAGAATAGTCCACCACTTGTATACTACACTCCGACAAACATTAACGGAAACCAAAGCCAAGTCACCATGAACAAAATTTAGAGAATATGCGTATTATGTGTATGGCAATAATGTATAAATGTTAGGTGAAGGTACATGTACTATACGAAGCAAGCTGCACATAAAAGAATAACGTCAATCGACGTATAACTAGAATTTAATTTTACCTTCGTTTGATTTTTGTTGTCTGCCCGGACATCAGGCACAATTTTACCGGATGAAATTCATCATCATTGCGTTCTTTGATTTTGCAGAAAGATGTCGATAGCTGTTTTTCATTTAACCTGGCACGAAGTGCCTGTGAGCATTGTCCATTATTCGTCTGTTTGTCTTTTATTGTCAATCGTATTTCTTAAACGACATATTATTATTATTATCTAGGGTAATGTACGAAGACAGGTAGATTGCGGGGATGAAGGGCTGTCAATTGTTTTCAATTAATGACGCTGACCTGCATCATAAATCAAACGATTAAAAATCGTTGCGTATAATTTTATGATGTTTTGCATTTAGCCTAGATTCACATTCCATATCAGTGTTACATGTGTATATTAACTATTTCATAATCGGTAAGCAAAACAATGAACCGTCTGTTTCTTGCAATGTTTGTAAAAGAATAATCCCTGCAATGAAAGAGATAAGATTTTAGTTAAAATCTATGGTCGTCGCGCATTTGGCAGTTCTGTATAAGACCTCAATCTGTTTCTAAAATTCTCTCATTAATCCTTGTTACAGCAACATCATATAACCTCATTACTAAATCCTTTTTAGCCTACATATAAACTACTGAAGTGTAAACAAAACGTACATGTACTTTGAATACAAAATCGATGAAAAATGATCGTTACACACATGGGATGGCATCTTTAAGATTTTGATATTTTATATAGTATGCCAAAAATGAATGATAATGCACTACACAGCAGTTTTGTCCTTTATGGACGTATAGGTGATACCAGGGGTCAAAAAGGTTACTGTTAATTGTTATAAACTAATGATGAAATAAATCCATGATAAAAAAGGTTTACTTGGAGGCCTTTAATAGTACAGAGAACATGCGATCTGCTCCATAGGGTAAGTATTTTCTGCTTTATCAATGATAACCGCCATGTAAATCTCTATATCAAATCTAACAAGTGTCCCACCCTTAAACAGAGAACATTAACAGTGGAAAGTATACCAGTCGGCATTCTAACGAGCACAATATAACACAACAAACTTCATATCGCTCAACAAAATAGAACATATCCAAAAGAGATCATGTTGGCGAACATAAAACTTGTCTAAAACAACCTGAATTTATAAACAGCGTAAAACAGATATAATGATTGTCGCCATGTACAGGTACTGTTTAAATAAATCCATTATTATAACCCCTTTGTTTCGCATTGAGTGTGTATGTGGTCATATTGTCTTTTCTTTTATGTTGGTGTTCCCTTTGGTCTTGGCTCTTTTGTCCTTACTTTTCATTTAAACAATATACAAATATAGTACATACAGATACAATGCTTTCCATTATTAAGCGTATGTGTGAACATGAAATGACATAAAACACATTTGTTTCATTTTGTCAGCATATGATTCGTTGGTGGTATACAAGTATTCTTCATTTACTAGTTTTCTGGTTCAGTTTTAAGATAACTTCCCATATAATGTAATAATATTTCTGTAAATATTGCATAGACAGAGGTGACAGTAATGTGCTTGCGTTGGTATTTAACTATATTTCCAACCTTCCACATTGCTTTTGGTTTGTTTGTGTTTTACGTCCTATTAACACCTATGGTCATTTAAGGACGTGCCAGGTTTTGATGGTGGAAGAAAGCCGACATTCCCGGAGAAAAACCACCGACCTACAGCCAGTACCTGTCGACTGCCCCACGTTGGTCTCGAACCCGCGACCAAGCGGTGGAGGGCTGGCGGTAATGAATTGAAATATAAATATAGAAATATAAATTGAAAAATTGAGTGGTGGATGGCTAGTGGTAGCAAAATGTCAGATGCGTTAACTACTTGGCCACCGCGGCCCCCCTCCCACATTGCATATTTCAAAGTCAATTATAAATGTGTAAAACAAATTGTTAGGGTCATCTTCATAATCCACGAGTATATATTTCCCTTCATTCCGATTCTTTTAATTTACATTTCTACAGTTGCTAATCAGACATATTAAAGTTCTAGATGTGGTATAAACTGCTGTACATTATTACAACTGTAAAACACACGACATAGTGATTCGTCGTTTTCACCTAAATGCCACTTCCCATCAGGTGTATTAATTCATTATCTCCTTCCTGATTTTTTTATATTTCAAATGTTGTCGTTGTTTGTTGGCATAGGGGTTTTTCTCGATCCAATTAAAATTATCATATTGTAATATCTAAATGTCTGTCCTTTATCAAACGTTACTGAGATAAAGTATACAAATCTCAAATTTAATTTCAAAATTTTACTTTCTACACAAACAATGTACGAATTAAAGTGTCATCACATTCGTGAAAGCGTTAGCGGGACTTCGGTTGGAATCCATTCACTTAAACAACAAAATGAAGTAATTATAATTCAATTTTTTGTTTATTTGTTTTTTAATTCCTTTAATAAATCATTCTCTTTAAAATGTGTTTGATATAAATTAACATATAGAATACATAATATTCAGAGCTTTGAGAAAAATAATCATATAAAGGTATTAAGGTTAAAGAAAAAAATGGGAACTCAGTATTGTTGATTTCTGTTACATTTTGACATTTGGTTTGATTTGAAAATGAATAAACTAAAGTAGAAAAACAAACACAAAACAAACGTTCAATTCTTCAACAAACAAAGGCGACATCCGAATTCTATGTATCCAATACAACAGGCATCAAAAGGTGACACCATACACTCACACACACTGGAGATAAATTAGTGTGTTCTAGAAATGTAAGCGTTTATTTCAAAACATGTCAATTTTTCGCACCTTCATGACGTCTCCCGTCCAATCCCGGATGGTACGCACATCACGCAGTATCAAAAAATAATGAATAAGTCTATATAACGATCCATGGTCATCAGGTTTTCATCTGTTAAATGTTACGCTATTGGTCAGGTAAATAAGAAACGTACGTAACTACAAAACTAATTTAAAGTACTTCTTGAAAAAAACTTAGCGACAAATCGTGCACACGTGATTTAATGCATGCTAGATGTCAGATTAATTTCTTTCATTTACTTCATATGACGCGGCGTTTGTTTAAATAAATGAAAGTAAATATACACATCTGCTAGATGTAAAGGTTTCTCGAGGAGGAGAGAACTTTCGTGTCAACATGCTACAATGTTTCTGGTATATCCTTTCTCTTATTTCAACACAGCTTAAGTATACGAAAATAAATTAATATATATCAAACAAGAAATTCGGAACAGAAATCTACGTCAATGTGTCAGGTGCACGTAAGATGTCTAAGAGAAGTGTGAGTCAAACGGTCACGTCAATCATGTTGCAAAATTACAGGTTTGAAATTAAAAGCAAGGTACCTACCCATACCTTAGGCCTATCACGTATAAAAATGTGTACCTGTACATATAGGTAGATCAATCAGGTATAAAACGCGTACCTGTAGGTACACCCGTCTACACCTGATCATAACCGCCGATATGGCCCACGTACTACCGGGACTTCTCCTCATCCTTGTCGTGTCGCTGACACTGGAGGCCTATCCGAGTGGTGGGCCGAACACAGGGAGGGCTCAAGGTAGGTCAATAGTATCATAGTTGGTAACACAACTTGTACTTTGGTTTATTGTATCAATATTGGTGTTTGCTTGCTTTAAAGTAGGTTTTGTTGGAAAGATTTTTTATTTTCCCAACATTTTTTTATGATTGTTATGATTGTAATTTGTTTTTATTTCTTTTTAATTTCGCAAAATAAACAGCATTTAACATGACATTAAAACAAATTAAAATTACAATAGAGTAATTACAGAAACACTAATAAGCTCCCTTATTGAATATGTTTATTTCTACCATGTTCATATTGGATTTGATTAACATGACTTCGAATGAAAAATCTTAAAATACTCGCGTTACTTGATATTTATGCTTCACATTAAATTCTTAATGATTAAATTTATGGTTATACAGACAATAGTGAATTCTTAATCAGAGATAAAGATTGTGTAATACCACACACAGAGTTGTAATATACCCCTAGATACGTGCTATAACGATCGGCTTCGAACTGATAACCTTCTTTCTGAACATTTTTATGTGACGTGTTACTGTCTTGAAATATTTAATTACGAAATATACTGCCATGTATTTTTTTTCCCCGAAACACTTTGCACTTGCTTTCATTGAGAGTTAGTGTGGTGACAAAAAGCGTTGTCAGCTGGATCACCTGATCGTACATGTCACTATGTAAAATTACCCGTTACCTAGCTGCACCATTACTTTTTTGCTGTGCCGGTGCAAGCATAATTTTCTCCATAGTTCGACCGTCAACGGGGAGCGATGAAAACGTTAATAAAAATAAAAATAATCGGAGCAATAAGTAACAGTCAATCATACAATGAAGTTTAAACTGAACACTCAGAAATAAGTTACAACTGACAATGTGACGATTGCGACCATACATTCATCAGAGTGGCTTCAATAAGGGTTTAACCTCATCGCAACAGCTAGTCAGAAGATTATAGGCATACTCTCCTTTTCGATACACCGCCAACAAGAAAGCTGAACTTAAACAGAAAAGAAAATATAAAGATATCAAATGTTGCATAGGGGTAGTAAAATAGTTTTGCTCTGTTCAAGTTCCTGTCAGTAGAATACACCGAAATATCCCTGTATTCTACAGGGGCCTCATTATTGTCGGATCTAGCGATGCATATGACCTGGAATACAACAGGTTGATCTTGATTCCAATGTACCAGGAACATTCAAAAAACAAAACCCCCGATTTTGCAAGGCCCCAACCTTACTCTTCTCTTACAAGATGCTGTTTACGCAGCAGTTCGATTGTAACTCGATCCTGCCCAGGTTGCCCGAATCTATTAAAGCTCTGGCTGCGTAATACATTAGTCAATATAATACACGTATTTGAAACTAATAGTAGAAAATCCAATTAACACCTGCAGGTAAGGCATGTATTTGTGAGAATGGGGATTATGTTACATTGAACTTAGGCCGGGAATTCTCACACACCGGAATGTGTTTTGGACGGACTGATAATTAATAAGGACAGCCTTATAAGAACTCAGGACAGATTGGTAAGAATTTAGGACAGACAGGTAAGTAATTAGGACAGTCAGTTAAGCATTTAGGACAGATTGGTAAGTGATTAGAACAGACAGGTAACTGATAAGGACAGACTTGTAAGAATTAAGGACAGACATGTAAGAATTTAGGATAGATTGGAAAGTGATAAGGATAGACATGTAAGAATTCAGGACAGACTTGTAAGTAATTAGGACAGACTGGTAAGTGATAAGGACAGGCAGGTTAGAATTAAGGATAGACAGGTAAGTGATAAGGGTAAACTGATAAGAGAATAGGACAGACTTTTGTGATTTGGATAGATTAGTTAGTGATAAGGACAGATTGGTAAGTAATTAAGACAGACTGGTATGTGATCAGGACAGTTCGGTTAGTGATAAGTACTGACAGGTTAGTGATGAGGACAGAGTGGTAAGTAATTAAGACATCTACTGATGAGTGACGTACTAGTAAGTGATTTGGAAATTATGATAAGTGATTCAGATAGACTTGTTTGTGATTTAGACACTAATCTTGCATGTGGTAATGACAGATTGGTATATGAGAAGGACAGCCTGGTAGGTTATTTAGACATGTTTGAATGTGTTACGGACGGACAGGAATGTGATTAATACGGACTTGTTACTAATTAGGACAGACTGGTATGTGGTTAGATTAGAGTTGTATGGGAGGTGACTGTCCGGTCGAATCGTTTCTTTGGCTGTTAACAAAAACAAAACAACAAACAAAAACATCGATCATGTTAACTTTTGATTCTTTTAATTTGAAATGAAGACTGATGAACTTATTCCTTAGAATGTTAACATATCATAAATTACTTCAAAGAAACGCCATGTTGTTTGTTTGTACGTGTATATATATATGCATTATGGTCTTACTAACCCATCCATGAGATGATCAGTTCCGACTAATTATTGGTAGATGATGATTTTACTTACCAAACAGACAGATGATCACCTACAAGTCATCCATAGACCACCTTATCATTGTTTGTATCAAATAATAATAATAATAATTAATAATAATTCGAGGTTGTTATATACCGCTTTATTACAACCTCGTTCGTAGGTCGTCTCAAAGCGGCTCACAAGTTATTATCCGTGGTTATTGGGCCTTTGCAACCAGCCAATATCTTTATCATCTTCATGGGGAGCATACAGACGGTGCTGCCATTTTGGCGCTCACAGCTAGCATTCAATAATTCTAGCACTTCTCAACCACGTGCTCATTTACAGCTGAGTAGACAGGAACAATCTTAGTAAAGTATCTTTCTTAAAGAAAAACACAGTGCAATGACGTGACTCGAACCCGCAAACATTTGGTCTCGAGCCCGGCGTCCTACCATGGACTACCGTGCCTCCTTAATGGTTAGGGTTTCATTACCTTCTCATGTTTGTTTTTATCTGAATTTTTCATTAGCAAATCAGGGAGGTAATCAGAATACAAGTTTTACCTTTTCATGTTTGTGTGTATCCAAGGGTTTCATTACCAAATCAGGGAGATAATCAGAATACAAGTTTTACTTTCTCATGTTTGTGTGTATCCAATGGTTTCATTACCAAATCAGGGAGATAATCAGGATAAAAGTTTTACCGTCTCATGTTTGTGTGTTTCCAATGGTTTCATTCCCCAATCAGGGGGAGGACCAGAATACAAGTTTTACCTTTTCATGTTTGTGTGTATCCAATGGTTTCATTACCAAACCAGGGGGAGGATCAGATTATTATTTTACCTTCTGATGTTTGTGTGTATCCAATGGTTTCATTACCAAATCAGGGGAAGGATCAAAATACCAGATTTACCTTCTCATGTTTGTGTGTATCCAATGGTTTCATTACCAAATCAGGGGGAGGATCAGAATACATGTTTTACCTTCTCATGTTTGTGTGTATCCAATGATGTCATTACCAAATCAGGGGAAGGATCAAAATACCAGATTTACCTTCTCATGTTTGTGTGTTTCCAATGGTTTCATTACCAAACCAGGGGGAGGATCAGATTATTATTTTAACCTTCTGATGTTTGTGTGTATCCAATGGTTTCATTACCAAATCAGGGGAAGGATCAAAATACCAGATTTACCTTCTCATGTTTGTGTGTATCCAATGGTTTCATTACCAAATCAGGGGGAGGATCAGAATACAAGTTTTACCTTCTCATGTTTGTGTGTATCCAATGGTTTCATTACCAAATCAGGGGGAGGATCAGAATACAAGTTTTACCTTCTCATGTTTGTGTGTATCCAATGGTTTCATTACCAAATCAGGGGGAGGATCAGAATACAAGTTTTACCTTCTCATGTTTGTGTGTATCCAATGGTTTCATTACCAAATCAGGGGGAGGATCAGAATACAAGTTTTACCTTCTCATGTTTGTGTGTATCCAATGGTTTCATTACCAAATCAGGGGGAGGATCAGAATACAAGTTTTACCTTCTCATGTTTGTGTGTATCCAATGGTTTCATTACCAAATCAGGGGGAGGATCAGAATACAAGTTTTACCTTCTCATGTTTGTGTGTATCCAATGGTTTCATTACCAAATCAGGGGGAGGATCAGAATACAAGTTTTACCTTCTCATGTTTGTGTGTATCCAATGGTTTCATTACCAAATCAGGGGGAGGATCAGAATACAAGTTTTACCTTCTCATGTTTGTGTGTATCCAATGGTTTCATTACCAAATCAGGGGGAGGATCAGAATACAAGTTTTACCTTCTCATGTTTGTGTGTATCCAATGGTTTCATTACCAAATCAGGGGGAGGATCAGAATACAAGTTTTACCTTCTCATGTTTGTGTGTATCCAATGGTTTCATTACCAAATCAGGGGGAGGATCAGAATACAAGTTTTACCTTCTCATGTTTGTGTGTATCCAATGGTTTCATTACCAAATCAGGGGGAGGATCAGAATACAAGTTTTACCTTCTCATGTTTGTGTGTATCCAATGGTTTCATTACCAAATCAGGGGGAGGATCAGAATACAAGTTTTACCTTCTCATGTTTGTGTGTATCCAATGGTTTCATTACCAAATCAGGGGGAGGATCAGAATACAAGTTTTACCTTCTCATGTTTGTGTGTATCCAATGGTTTCATTACCAAATCAGGGGGAGGATCAGAATACAAGTTTTACCTTCTCATGTTTGTGTGTATCCAATGGTTTCATTACCAAATCAGGGGGAGGATCAGAATACAAGTTTTACCTTCTCATGTTTGTGTGTATCCAATGGTTTCATTACCAAACCAGGGGGAGGATCAGAATACAAGTTTTACCTTCTCATGTTTGTGTGTATCCAATGGTTTCATTACCAAATCAGGGGGAGGATCAGAATACAAGTTTTACCTTCTCATGTTTGTGTGTATCCAATGGTTTCATTACCAAATCAGGGGGAGGATCAGAATACAAGTTTTACCTTCTCATGTTTGTGTGTATCCAATGGTTTCATTACCAAATCAGGGGGAGGATCAGAATACAAGTTTT